GAAAATTAGGGGGGGGGGGGGGGGGAATATTTCAAAAAAAGGCAAGCATCATTAATTTTCTCATCAGTTACATTTTAAAATAAAATTTAAATTTTATTTTTTTTTCTCCAGAATTTTTACCTTTTTAAAATTATATTCATTCCACAATATATTCTATTTATATTTATTATAGTTTTTATTAGTTTGTATTCATTCCAATAGGTATGCCGAATTTATCTACATAGTCATTTAAGAAATATATTTGCATTTTCATATATTTTTTCCCTAGATAGATTTTTTTTTCTTCAAAAATCCTGTATGTATTCATTTCAATATGTATTTTATTTGTATTTCTATTTATTCTAGTTTTTATTTAGAATTTTGTATAATAATATATAAAATACAAAAAATTAGTATGATGAAAAAGTGAATGAAATATAAAATTGAAAAGAAATAATTGAATATTTGGTGTATTCATTCTTAAATAAAATACATAACTAGTTGACATACCTTTAGAATAAATACAAATTAGAAAAAAATGTCAAATTCAGTTGACATACCTTTATTAGTTTGTATTCATTCCAATATATATGTCAAATAAAATGTATCTATTTAAGAAATACATTTGTATTCGTATATATTTTTCACTGTGTATTTATTTTTCTTTTCAAAATCTTGTTTCTTTTTCTAAGTCGTATTCATTCCAATATGTCTATTATTTGTATTTGTATTCGAATACAAATAAACTAATAGAAAGTTGTTCTTCTTATAAATAAAATACATAACTAGTTGACATACATTTGGATGAATACAAATAGGGACAAATACAAGATTCATAAATCATGCAACATGAAATTTTTAATAAATACAAATATTGATAGTATACATAGTGATTTGAATACAAATTAAGAAAGCATACCAAATTCTAAAAAGAACTATAAATACAAAACAAACTAATAGAAAATTGTTCGACAACTATCCAATCTTCGTCGTCTTTTTCAAGATCATCACGAGTAGACAAAGATTCTACATTTGCGTTTTGAATTTGAGGAAGGTTTTGCACACCAATGAGTCTTATAAATGTTCTTACCCTCTTTCTTCCCTCATTTTAGCCGCGGATCATACATTATACACTATTTGTTAAGTAATAGATAAATTAAAGGATGAAAAATCACCAGAAATTGGTTGATTAAGATGAATACCTCTAGTAAGCCTCTTGGATTCAGCCATTGGAGAGTAAATCATAACGGAAATTGAAAAATACAAACAACATTTTTTTAAAATTTAAACAAAAATAAAATTAGAAAAGAAATCTGAAAATAGAATAAAGATTAGAGATACCTTAATCAAAGGGATTCTTGTTGATTCAATTTTGGATTAAAAAAACAACCAAAATATATCGCAAAAAAATATTTGCAACTTGAATGTTGGAGGAAAATCAGAAAAGATAACCATGAGAGAGAAAAAAAGTTAAATGGGAGAGAGAATTAACAATTTGAAAAGATAAATATGAGAGAATGATTATTTTTTCTTAAAAAAAAAGATATATAGAATTAATTGAAAAAGAGAGATAAAATAGGAAGAAAATTGGGACACATAAATTTTTTAAAATAATAACATTTTTGACATTATTGCTAATATTTATAAAGTATGGATATTTTTACTAAATATGTTATTTATTTTGACTAGTTTACTAATTTTTCCTTTATTTTTTGAATCATTTTTATAACAATTGAACCAATTTGATTAATTAACTCATAACAACTATTTTAAATTAATTGAAGGAAAAATAAAAGTTTTTGGCTAAATATTTTCAAGAGTTGATAAAATGAATCTTTATTAAAATAAACTAAACTTAAAGATATAGTTCATCTTTTAATTTAATTAAGTTTAAACCAAAATCAAATAAAGCCAGAGTTAATAAAAACAAACAATAGATAATCACGATTAAATAATTTAGGAGAGTAAGGGAGAAATCGAATTTGGGCCCTTCTTGGGCCAAATTCGCTGCTGATTTTGGTTTAGGCTCAAGTCCTATATTTGTATATACCTGTTGTATATCAGTGTATACAACTCATATGAGCTCTGTTTCTTGCGTTTCGAACACCTGTATTTTGCCTCAGCCTTGTATTTTCCATTTTGACCTATATATCCAAGTATACTGAATGTATACAGCTGTATCCATCTTATAAACAACAACCCTTTTTGGGTTTTTCGAGACCTGTACGTCAACTCCAAAGACTTGTTCTTCGATTCCTCAAAAATGGCTTAATCGATAAGAGAATTTTGGGACTTTATGGACCTCTCAAAATGCAAAGGGAGGAAATAGAGTCCAGAATGAACTCGGGTTTGTGTCACATATATTATAAGAAGAAACAAAAAAAGAGTTAATATGATTCAATAAAAATAAATAGCGAAGCGAGTATGCCAAATTATAAAAATTTACATGCCGATTCAAGAAGATTAATGAATTACCCAATCAGGAGGGGTCATAAAGAGAAATACTAGAAACCAATAAATTCTAACGAAATAACTAAAAGGGGCAACAAACATTTAATACCAACAATATGGTGGCTTAGCAATATTCTTTGTAAATGGGAAAAAGAGAAGAGTTAGTCACCATCAAATAGTGAGGTAGCCAAAGATATAACAATGAACACACACACACACAAAAACAGTAGCTAAGTTAACAATTTTTCCAACCAAAAAATGGAAGTTATAACTAAGGGACTTTGACAAGAAAGCTAAGAGAAAAAATAAATAAACAAGCAAATAAATATATATATATATATATATCTTGAACTCATCAGCTAAGACTACTGTCTTACAATTAAGACTCACCAAAGCTATACCAACAATATATTTTATAATCCAACCAAGGGCTAAACAAGCTAACTTGACCAAAACTAATCAATGGAACTTGGAGACTAACAACATCAACAGCATTCAAGAACATCAGATGGATGTATATGATGACTAAATTAAGAGACACACCACAGGATATGATAAGAACAGATTGCCAAATATTATTAAAAATATACCAAACTGAAATTTGAAACAACAAAAATAGAAGCATGACCACAATATCGATTGAAGTTCTCAGATTTTTGACTGAAAAACAACATTGGAACAACTCAAACTACACTTAGGAAATAAAAGAAGCTGATCGGGTTCTTCTGCATATTTTTTTAAGCTAAAACAGTTCCACATGGCATTACAGTGAGCCAAGTTGAAACGAGGTTACAGTGAGGTGCAAACATGACATCAATAGCCGAAATATAAGAGAAATAGAGCCAGCATTCAAGTTATGCAAGATAGAGATATATTCTACGAGATTAGGCTAATACATATGACAATTCGAATTGATAGAGAAGACAGTCAATGGCACAAGCAAACAATGAAGAAAACATAACTATACAACAAGCAAATCCTAAGTTGAAGCTAGATGAACATTAAGTCATTTCGAGTGAAACGAGGCAGTGGCTCAGCTGACTATGGAGATACGAAACCGGGCTAATGAATATAACGACCAAACGGAATGAAAGAAAAATTCTTTGACGCGGGATTCAAGCTCGCAGCCCGAAACTCCAAGAAATTAAGATTATAGACGAGCAAACCATGGAACCAACACACTCTTGTTAACAAATCTTTGCATAGAGTATCGAACACAACCAAGTATGCTACATTGAAACGGAATACAAAAGGAAGCGAGAGTACCTTTCTCCGGGTAGGCGCCGAGACAACGAGCTTCAGTGAGATTACACAACCACAAGCGAGTAAAACAATTTAAAAGAAAAATAAAAAATCTTAGGCTCAAACCTTCGCGGGTTCGATTTCGAAAAATACTGTTCTCAAACCTTCAAATTCTAATCCTCTGTTATTTTTTTCGTCCTCTCTCTAGTGTCCTCCTCTAAATAGTATCAATACCATGTATTTATAGCAAAAATAAAGGCTTGCATTCAAATAGTCGTTTGAACAGTAGATGAGAGATTGATTGGATAGAATCGAGGAGAAAACGAGCAAGATGAAAACATACCCCTAAAAATCTGAATTTGATATCATATCTTCCGATTTGGATTAGATTATAATGAGATTATCTAACCTTAAGTCAACAATTTAGGCCAGTGTTTTGTAATCTTTAAAAACATGCAGAAGGGGACTGACAGGAGTGATAGGGAGCAGGCATTTGGGTGAAGAAATTTAGGGTTCCTGGTCTAACTTTCGCATTCTAGGAAGGACAAAGGGGAGAGGAAAGAGCGACTTTGATTTAGAGCGTGAGAAAGAGAAAAAAATAGATTGGAGAGTGTGAGGATTCAAAGAAGAAAAGAGGGATGGTGGGAGTGTGTGAATTACAAAGATGCTCCTTTTTAGTTGCTAATTTAACTTATCTGAGCTAGGTATGAACAAATTGAATCAAATAACTAAGTTCGGCCAAAATTAAAATGTGAGGGATAGTTATCGATTAATTATTCAAACTTCTTAATTAAAACAAGACGAAATAATTATGAAGACATGAGCTCATTACTTAAAGATAAAAACTAAATATACAAAATTATATAATCCACCAATTTAAAAGAAATTAATAAGTATTTATGTTAAACACTATTTTTAGGCTATTTATTAAATATTTTTATAAAAGATGAAAATTATATAAATCAATATGTAAAATTATATATTTATTTCTGAAAAAATACTAACCAAAACTAATTTGAAAGAGATTTTATAATATATATATATGTATTTTTGGGATTTTCCGAAGGCGATAATTTCAAACTGTTTGAAATTTAAGAAGATCAATAGTTAACTCGAGTTGCATAGGGTCAAAATTGGGTGTCAACAGTGATTGCATAGAGGCGATTTTTCCCTCCGTCAATACCAGAAGTGGTTCCTCTAGGTGCAGCCCTTTCTGGTGGAGCAACTGATGAAGATTGGGTTTTGTTGCCAGGATTTCCACTACCCCGCATGTTCTTAGGTCACTCTCTCTTGAAGTGACCCTCTTGAACACACTTAAAGCAACTTGTTTAGCCATCACAACATTTACTTGGGTGGGTTACACCACACTTAGCATATGCAGGAGCCGAACTACCTCCCTGTGCTACACTTCCTTGAGACTGTGTTGGTCTAGCTCTGAAGTTCTGCGAATTCTGGCCATGATGTTCATCTTTGTTTCTGGGTGCAGGCACACTAGCACATGATGGTGCAAGACCCTTTTGTTTCTGAAATTGTGGTCGATTTATAACACCTTTCTGGTGCCCAGACTCATTCCCAGTCTTAGCTTTCTTGCTTCCATACTCTTTTCTGTCCCTCAACTTATTCTTTTTGACTTACTTCACATAAACCATCAACCTAGATATGTCCACTCATACTCATGCACACTCAAAGAGTCCTGTTTTAGTGAATGAAACTTTTGTACCTTAGCCTATTTTGATTCTCGGGGAAAGAAACGCCCCAATAAAGCTTCTTCAAAATAGGCCAACCTCAGATATGGTGCATCCTCATCTCTACCCTCATTCCACTGATCGAACCAAGTCCTAGCTACAGTTTTTAGTTGATATGCAGTTAGTTCAACTCGTTTAGCATCAGCAACATGCATCACATAAAAAACTTTCTTCAGTTCCTCAACAAAATTCTCTGGATTCTCAGTAGTGATCGAAACCATGAAACTGGGAGGATTCATTCTCAAGAATTTACGAATCCTCGAAGTGTCAACCTCTTCTTGTCTAGATTTTATTTGCTGCCCAGCTTGATTAGTCACAACTTGTCTCAACATCTGGATAGCCTCACGAAATTCAGCATTTGTGACTTCTCCTTGAGGTTGCAGGTTTAGTGCATTAGAAAATTATGGTTTCTCTACGTTCTTTCTAGTTGGACGACCTCTTGTTGCTCTTCGTGAAGACATGGTTATGTAAAACACGCACAAGCATGACTTATAGAGAGACTTTTAGAGATAAACTTTAACGCACGAATAGGAATATGAAAGAAGTGAAGAATTCCGAAATGTTGCAGCCTCCTAATTATAGATGTGGTGCGCTTCACATCAATAAATAGGACTCGACTGGATGTGGTCGGCACTGAAAGACCATTGGTGGCCTTGAGCGGACCCTTGGTCTGGCTTACTTACTAAGCGGAAGACTTAAACACAAGAGGTAAAACTCGTGAAAGATATCTAAAAGAAATAACTTAGCCAAAACGGCAACTCATATCTTAAACTATAACAATCAAAAAGAATAAGACTAAAAAACTAATGCTATCTGTCTATGAAGCCTCTAAAATAAAGATGGATGTTGGGAAAGTGCCCCCAATCATCCTAACAACTGAAATCTAAGAAAAAGAATGATAAAAGATGTCCTCCGGATGAAAGGAGGTTCACCAACTGACTCTGAGACGCTCTTTAGATCAACGGTACACAGAATGTGGATCCTAGTTACATGCATATACATCATGATACGATGCAGGCCAACTGGCATCAGTACATTGAATGTTCGAGTATGCAAGTTGGAGTGCTAACAACAACTTAAGCTTGAAAAAGAGTAAGAAGGAACACTTACATTGGCTCTGCTCAACTCATGAATAACTTGACTTAATATAAGGCACATGGTATATACAAAGCTTGTAAAATAATGAAAAACACTTAGTTCGTTAAAGAAAATGCAAAGACAAACTCAACTTTACTTATATATGAAGTAATATAGTTTTGGTGAGAGATTCTCCAACCGCCAACCAACACTATGAGTCTAAGTGGTGATAGAACGTCTCACCCCTGCTGCGAAAACTTTCCTATACTTTGTCATTGCAAAGAACTACTTTACTTAGTTGATACACTTGTTTAACTTACCTGATCATCTTAAAAGTATGACCCATTAATACCCATGATGATTACATGATTTTCATGGACACTTGAGTTAATAGGAACTCTCGTCCCCACATTGGTGCTCAATACTATTTCCAATGTATACTTTAGCTTATGCTTTTAAAGCAACATCTTTCTTTGGGTGAGATAATTGCTCAACACTTAGATTTAGAAAGCTCTCTTAGAATAAATGTTCCCTTTCCTTGCTCAAAACTCTTTCGGAAATCTTAGTTTCCTCTATCTTAAATGTGAAAATATTTATAAGCTCTTAGAGAATAATTAGTTCCTTTATAGCTTTTAAGAAATTAACCAAAATCTTTACTCTTCACTTAACTTGAAACTTGAGTCTTAAATCAACTCTTAGGGAATCCTTAGTTCCCTTTTAACTTTTGATAAATGACTCAACTCTTTACTTTTTACTTAACTTGAAACTTGAGTCTTAAAAACAAAGTTAAACATTGCTAAGATTCTTTGACTTTGACCTTAGCTTTTCTTAAATAAAATTATAAAGTCAAGGTTATGATTTGTGTTTTTGGTGATTCCTAGGTGTTTAGAAATCATTTGAATTAATTAGAATCACTGGAGAGTCTGAGTACACCTAAATAGGCTAAACTATAAACATTGAGCAAAAAACCCTAATTCAGGCGCATCCGGCGCGCGGCGCGCCAGGCCTCAAGTTCAAAGGCCTCATCCTGGCGCACTGCTTGTGCGCCGCCCAGGCCCTCTGGTGTAAATGAGGAGCACCGCGCCTGGTGCTTCCAGGTGTGGCTGACGACTTTCTCCTTTTGTTTTTCAATGCTAAACCTCCATAGTTCTTGACCCAAACCCTTAGTATCATTAGTACCTTCAATACCAATAGATCTAAATCAAAAAAAAAAAAACAACCCGAAATTACTAATCAAACGACAATGGGCATTCAAACAAACTCAACCTACAAGAATTCGATAAGATTCTTCAAGAACTCACTTCTTAACATGTAAACAATTCAAAACCACTTAATTGAAACAAGTTTGGTGTGTGGGTGAACTAACCCAACACAAAATATCTCACATACCTTGATAGGGATCACCCCCGACAAATTCCACTTGCAAATTTTGACGTTCTTGGTGAATTCTTGACTTCTCTCCCTTTCTTTCTTCTTTTCTCTCTTCTCCAATCCCTAAGCGTTATTTTAGTTTTTCTAAACTGATTTAGAATTGTTTTTACCCCTAATAACCCCTAAAAATGAAGTAGGAATTTAATTGGTGAAAAAACTACTTTGCTCTTCCTTAAACTGGATTTGGACTTCCTAACTTCAATAATCCATCTTCTAATAGACATATCTCCCTCATACGATATCAAAAATGTGCAAACTCGGTGGCGTTGGAAAGATCTCACCAAGGTCTTTCCAACCATAACAAGAACTACCTCTAAATCATCCTGAGCTAGAATTTATGGTTGTTTGAAAATGACTAAAACTCACTTTCTTAACATTAAGCAATTTTTCAGATTTCTCCTTTTCTTTCTAAAAATGAATATTTATAGTTTCTTAGCTATTTCAAATTGTGAGATGTTATAATCTAGAACCACCTGGTAACAGAGTTGCGCTGCATACTTTATATTTTCGGTGTATAATTACTTGTTTCGTTCTTTCAAATTCAACCAATATGTTAGCTACAACAAATATTTATTTTACCGATAGGTAATTACAAACACGATGTTTGAGTTGCGCTGCAACCTTTATTTTTTTGTATGCATAAATACTTGTTTATTCTTTCCAATACAGTCGGTTTGTAATTTGCAACACATATTTTTAACGCAAATACTATATCAGATATTGTTAAAGCATATAAATTATCTCCAATACTTTAGAAATCAAGTAATGTATCTACATATGGTATGTAGAAGAGAAAGCAGACTATAAAAGTGCACCATCAATGTGACTACAACAACTTTTAGTTCATTTAAGTATATTAAAGCACATGTCAACTGCAAAGCAAATGATGAGATGATGTCAGGGAATAAGGGATTTCTCGGAGTAAAGAGATGAGTAAGAGTAAGTTAAGTCATTCTAGTTGAAAAGATATAAAGCATCTTTCAAGAGAGATATTTTATCACGCCTAATAAATGAAATAAAGTAAAAGTCAAATTACCAGTCCATTTCTTAATTTTAAATGAATATAAAGGACTTCCTAATACTAAGGCCATTACTGAGTGACTTTACTTTACTCTTTGAGCTAATTGAAACATGTTTTTTACGATGTTAATTGAACATATTCATAAAGTATATCCAATAAGGGCATCAGAATTCTCAATTTGTAATAATTTCCAAAATCACTTATAAGGAAATAGTATCTATTTTCTTCGAGGACTTCCTCCTGTAAGTTGCAACAACCCTTGTCACAACGTCATGTTATTTAATGAACACATGCTTTCGAAATGAAGCAAAAAAAAAGAATTTATCATCTAAAAAGCAAGCTACAATAAATAACTATATCTTAAGTTATTTGAAACATATTAATTAATGAAACATGTACCGAGTTCTTTCACTTTGGAAGGGTGAAGAAGAGGGTTAGGTAAGACTTCTAGATATTGATTTGGGCAAACAAATATAATAAAAATTGGTTAACATATTTGCTAAATTCTATATCCTACTCTACCATTCTCATTCGGCCCTTTACATAAGAGTAGAATCGTCAATATGGGCTAGGCCTATTGGACTGTCCGAACCTGGCCTAACCTGTGATTTGATAGGGATGGAGTAAGGTTTATAGATCCCATTTAAGAATAGATTTTTTAGCCTGACCTAAATAAATCTGTTGATTTATGGGCTTGAGAAATATGGGTAGGCTCTAGGAAAGAACAAATTAAATAATAAAAAATTTAGAATAAAAAAAAATATAAAGAGTCCAAAAATATATTTAAATTTTTAAATATAAAAAATTAATTATAAATTTTTTTATAAAATATATAGTACATAAAATAAAAATAATTTTATGGAATCACTTCCTATCCCGTAGCATATGGAATATTGTCGTTTTTTGTGTTTTATTATGATCATTAGACGAAAATTAGGTGAACAATTTAATTTAGATATTTATAATATTACTTGACATCAAACTTAATTAATATTATAAAGATAATTTTATTTGTGAATTTGATTACAATGTATCAATGCACATGTAATATTATTTTGTCGGAATTTATGATTATATTTTTAAATTATAATTTGATTTAAAAAATTATAAAAAGGCAAAATTACCTAACTACACAACCTTTTTTTCATATCATCTAAAATTCCATACTATTTTAAGATATTTCAAAAATCTTTTTTTTTCTCTCCTATTCTAGATACATTATTTACAGTCCTTCTAGACCAAAAAATTGTTCCTATTTTGAAGCCTAAAATCTCTCCCATATATCAACAGTTACATCCATCAATGCATTTTGATTTGTAAATCCAATATCTCTCTCATTCATCGATTAGAAGTTTCAGTAGTACTATTTCTTTATCAATTTTTTTTCTTTCTAGTTCTTCAATGTTTTTCTAAAAAAAAAATTATTTAGCTTTTTCATTTACAATATCGATATTGTTGCTTGGGCTAACGTCCACGTTAGATATAGCAGCTATTGACGTAGACATCACCGGAGAATTTGTGTAAAGAAAACGATATTTGAAGTGGGGACATAAAATAAATTTGTATGCAACCCAAGGTATGAAACTTCTAGTTTGTATCTAAAGTAAATGTAGAAAAAACCCCAAAAATGGAGAGAAAAATAAATATGTAGTTTCCCGATCTGCAACCCAAGGTATGAAACTTTGATATTTTTTTGTTTTTAATCTAAATTTATTTAGTATTTTAAAGTTTCCGATACGTTATTATCTTAATAGTGCAATGTATCATGATTTAAATTTGTAGAATTTTGTATCATGTACCATG